TTCATTCAAACATATAGAGAAAATTTAATTATCTTTGCTACGTTTTTCATAATTAATATTTAAAATAGAAAAAATTTAAATTTTTTGCTTTTTTAATTAAATTTGTTATAAAATCCACAAAAATTTGAATTGGTGTATGAAAATTTTTGGTATAATTAATAATTAGTTTATCTATAGCTTAGTTAAATAATTTTTTAAATTAGTCTAATAGTTTTTGTTAAATTAATTTTTTTGATCAGGAAAAAAATTTCATTAAACATTAATTTTGTAACTTTTTTACTTTTCTTGGTATATATTAAAAACTATTGCACGTAGGTTATTGAAAGTTTGGTTATTTAATAACAATTTGCCATTCTATAACCTCCTGAAAACAGATTTGAATTATCTCAATTACTTTATGAATTATTGGCACATAAATTTGACCCTAAAACGCAAAAAATACATTTGTTTTATTTTATAAATTGACCAATAATTTTACAATACTTTGTATAAACGTTCCAAAATATTTATAATTACTAATTATAAACAATCCTATCATCCTCTAAAAAAATATTCAAGATATCTCTTCTAGTTTTTGAATAATTCACCTTTTAAATTAACCTACGAAATCGTATTTTTGTGTTTCCTCTTAAATAAATGTTTTGCCAACATGCACGCATCGGGAAAAAATGCGCATCCTTCTTACTTTGAGGGTGCGTATCCCGCTCGCAGGTTTCCTCGTCGGCGGCGTCTTTTTCAATCCTCGATCCGCAGCCTAATACATATATAACCGGCAAATCCAATTCGTTCTAGCCGATTACGCAAGCAAATCGGCGAAATCAAGGAGAAGCGAATCGACGCGCCATGGAAAATGCTGAGAGGAATAAGTTTATTGCCATTCAAGTCTTCGGTGCGCTTTTCAACGCTGCGAGCGAGCAAATCTCGTCGATACACACACATATTCCTACTTATTTTGCATTATTTTCTTTTCCTAATATTTTCTTTGCGCTGCGCTCTTATTTTCTGTTGTCGGCTTCTTTTTTAGAGATTGTGTATTCTCCCCGCACTTTGCTTGTCGCTGGTGCTTGTTATGAGTACTTTTATGTGCATGTTCAAAAGCTTTCTTGGAAGATTCTCAGGGAATAAGAGTCAAAGAGTTTTACGGAATAAAGGAGCGAAAATGTTTTGCCTGCGACGGTTTTAAAATGAATGTTTGCGTTGATAGTCTCTTCTGCTAATTATCTCCATGATACATAGAGTGTTTTTACAAAAATTTAAATTAAATATTTTTAAACACTTTGTGTATCTAAAACTATCATCAGATATACTAAAACTTATAAAGTTTTAAGTATATAAAGCGATTATTGTCTAAAATTATTTTCTAAAACATTTTTTGTGCATTTTTTAAGCGTTTCCTGTTAATTACCGCTATAAAAATTTATCGAGACACTTTGTATGATTTATATTTATGTCTACTGTTTCCTGCGACTGCAAAAAATATAAAACGCATCGAGGGTGGAAAGAAACTGTTGGTCGACGACACTTTTTCTTCGTTTCTTTGGCGTCGCAACCGCCATGACTTTAAACGCCTTAATTGGCTTAATTACCATTTATACTAATTTCGTGCACCCTCCGACGGCGCAAAGGTGCATAATGTTTATACGCGGCTAAATTGCACAGCTTCCAATGCGATGCAATGCGTTTTGGCTAATGAAAGCTGCGATAAAAGGCTTCAAAAGAGCATTTTACGACCACATTTATAAAACTTAAAAGAAACTTATTTATTTTGTTCATTAATAAATAATCGTAAAATTATATCACAGGTATGAAATTAGCGACAGTTATAAACAATAAGTGCGATTACAAAATGCTTTAAACAGCAATGATTTAAACCCTATCGTTTGAGAATTATAGTCAATTAAAAATCGTCATGAAAATGGTATTAAAACGACTCGATTTTTGCCATTTTCCGGAGGATTTACGCGTTATCCTGCTGACGTTATCAAACATTTACAGCGAGAACGTCTGTCGTTGTCCTCTGAAAGGGTGCAAATTTTATCGCACTTGAGTTTTATTGTTTAACGCCTTAGGATATTTTCCTCCACGAAAAAAAATACAAAATGACGTCGTAATCCTAGAAAAACAAGAAAAAGGAATTAAAATGATGATTAAGCCATCAAACAAACAAAAAGTAATTAAAATCAGACACTTTGTGATTTGTAACCAACCACGGATATACTTCCATCCTTACAAAAGGGGGTTAATCCTGCTTAATCCACCCCAATTTCTTTTGTGGCATTATGACTCGTTCAATTTCTTAGATATCTCAGTATTTGTCATATTGATCAAAATCCTTGGGGAGTTGTGGCATTTTTAAGCGTGTAACGAGAACAGGTCCTGCACGTACCATATAAATATAAATAAGTCTTGTTTAAGATATCGTCACCAGACGCTCCACGTGTCATCTTCCGCATGGCGGTATTTTTTTGCTTTCTTTGTCCTTCGTCTTGCCATCATCCTGCAAGCCTGCAATAAATCCGTGCCGAAGAACCAGGCATTAAATTACGCCCTGTAAATTGATACCCAGCCGACGGTAAACACCTGCTGCACGTCGGCGTCATAAAATTATACAGAGTGTTTTCTTCAAAACAAATTTTGGAGAAAGGACGAAATAAGAAAGTGGGAAAATAAATGAGATGTTATACAAATTGAACAGATGTGCTCACGTTTGTACAAGGTTTACTGAAGGGGGTGTACACGTGTGTGTTTGTGTGTGCTATGCACATCCAGGAGGACGACTTTAAGGACCCTCTTCCTCGAAAGTTCATCGTTTCGAATGCGGCGAGGTAATAAAAAGCCATAAATAATAAACAGACACGTCGCGTCTGGCGTCGCGCGCATCCATTGCACGAATTGTGATCCTGCAACAATAACATCCCCTTTACGAAATCTTTCAAGATAATTAACTATCACCGAGCAGGAAAAAAAAACTAAAAGTTTTAATTAAAAATCAAGTTTTATTATTTTTGTTATCCTGACGTTATTCTTGTTATCTTAAAACGTCCTTTTCATTGACAGCGCATGTAAATCTTGTGCACGCAATAAAAAATAAAAATATAACGACAAGGATAATACAAGGGTGGCAGGCTCGTAAAAATGTTTAATGTACATAGCCTTATTCCTGCAGATTCTACTAAAATCAAAGGCGAGGTTGTAATTTTCAAAAAATCCTGTTGAAACGAAGGCTTTGCACTTGGTCAGGATAACCCGCAAATAATTTCTGTTTTCAACGTCCCACTGTGGAACACTGAAGATAATAATTTTTTCGCCCGAATTTAGAATCCAGCTGAGTCGACATTTTTGTCCTGCAGGAGAGGACGTGGTGCATGTTCAGTGCACCACTGGTGGAATTATCATTTCGAGGTTTTGTTCCCGCGTACCCTGGTTGCGTTTTTTTACGTCAGTGAGTCCTTACAGCAGGATAACGATGCAGGAATGGTGTCGGGAGCATTTTGCATGCGCGCGCGCGCACAACTAACATAAAAACTCGTTTCGTTTGCTTGCTGCGAAGGAAAAGACTCGTCCTTTGCATGTTCCTGCTGTTCTAGCAGGATGTCTGCGGTGTTGTGTAATATTCTCTGCGAACTGTTATGTTTATTCAGCGCAACATTGGTTCGAATTTAACTTGTAAGTTTTATGATTATTACCTTCTTCCTACGGTGATGCAGGATTTTCAGGACTCTGTTTACACACACCTAAATATTACAATGCAAAACATCGTAAATTGGTAGAAAAATTTTACTTTTGGGAAAAATTATATGATTTTTTTTAATAATTTTATAAATTTTGTTGTTTTTGGTAACATCCTGTATAATAAACATTCAAATTACTTGTTTTACGTTTGCATATGTTGTTTTGGGAAATGTTAAGTACCTTTAAAAATCGTTGCAAGGATATTTCAAGGATGTCACCGAAAATTTCTTATCACACATATTATCCTAAAAATATAACTTTTAGGCGTTATCTTGAAACTTGTAGAATAATTTGAGGATAATTCAAGGATAATTTTCCGGGATAATTATAATTATTAACATTTTTAAGGCTGGCGCGTGCTTAAATTTTAATTTTCGTAAAACGCGAGGTGAATTTTAAACAGGATAATGAAATAATTGTCCTGGGAGGTATTTATCCTTATTTTTGTAAATGTGTTATCCTTGTTTATGAAGTAGTTGTGTAATTTTTGTTTTTCTGGTATTTTTCCACTCGTCACCCTCGTGCTTCGACAAAGAACAAGATTATCCTTCATTAGCGAAGGGTTTCCTTTGTGCCACTCCTGCCACTCGTCGGAGAGCTACTCCTGCCGCTCCTGCGAAACGCGAACGCATTGAATATTAAAGACGCACACGCCCGGCTTGCGGTCGCTTGTTATGCAGTCAACTCTCATCTCTCTCCACTCTCCGAGGACTCTCGAAACTAAGATCCTGTAGGATACATCATGTCGTCATAGAAACCATTTCTAAGTCATTATATTAATAATACCTCTAAATATGGAAATGGTAATAATTCTGCATTTGTATGAAAATATTTCAGAAAAAATATAATTAGATGTTTGGATTGTTTACCACTTGAGTCTGGTATAATTATTGTATCGGATGTTGTGCTTCCTGCAGGAGTTCCCGCAGGATAATCGATGATGTGAAGCACGCGGCTATGTTTGCACTTTCCCCACCTCTTTTGCTCCACCATTCTGCAACACGCATATTGCGCGCAAACAGTTGCTTCCAAAAAGCACCCCCGGTGAATAGTTCTTCCTGTGGGATTGTGCATTCCTACAGGATGCAGAATCATGTGTCTCTGTGTTTAGTAAACAAACAAAACACAATTATTACCCTTATCGGCACTGTATCAACAATGTGAATAGGCGAATTGCATTTAATCACCAATTAACGATTCTGAATATTTCAAAATTTAATTTTAGAAATTTAAATTTAGATTCATAAATTTTGTTTTTGTGTTTTTAGGTGGATGTGAGTTTCCGAAAGCTTGGTCTGGAACATGGTTCCAATCAGGACTACCATATCTAAAGATCAACTCGACACACATCGATACCAAGGGCGAATGTTACGAGGAGCAAGGAGACAAATATTTAGTCTACGATAAGTAAGCAATTTAAAATCAAACTCGAGATTTATCTGATGTGTAATTCAATGTGATTTATTTCTAGAATGGATAAATGCTATCGTTGTATGGCAATTCATGAAAAACATGCAAGTGTTCTTCAATATAAAGAAAGTAAGTCTTAGAATATGATACAGAATTATTTTAAGAGTGTAATTATGTTTGATTTTAGCATATTGTGAACCACATTCTACATTTAACGACATCTGCTATGGAATCACAGGAGATGCTCCTTTATATAGCATGTTTAGAAAACATCCTGAGGGCAAAGCTGCTCCTGTACCTTGTCCTTTCAAAAGTGCACCATTTGCGTTCAGCTACAATCGCGGTGCAGGCGATTGTAGTAATCCACCCAGTAAGGCTGAGTCCTGCACGGACGACTCAAGACTTGTTCTTAAATATCAGGCTTGTCCGGATATTCCTAGTACAGAAAGTAATGGTAAGATATCTTTACCTTTTTTTTTAAATCTTTTGAGTTTAATTCTTATTTTCTGTGTCTAGTTGAAGAATTAGTCTGCCTCGCAACTTGGAAAGAAGGTTCAACCAAATATCTCATTGGAAAGATAATCTCGCAAGGAAATCGCCGTGCTATGCTCACCGATGAAGAGCAGTATCGTTGCTTCATTTATCAGAAGGCTACCGAAAAGAGCAAGACTGTTTACCATATTGCCCAGTCTGGTGATGCAACCTGCACAGGTCTTTCCAATGTTTTCGAAGGCAGTCGCACTATGAAATTCACAGTCATGGATAATCACCACAATCGGTGCAAGTTTCCTTCGTGGATTACCATTCATCATACCTGGTTGAGTTTGGATCATCGTAAAACTTACAAATTTTCACAACGCAATGCCACCTTGAAGATCCTCGATGAGGAACCTAAACCTAATAGAGTTGTTCAACCAGTACAACCTGTGCAACAGTTTGGGTTTCAAGAATTCGGTTTTGAGTCGCAGGATCAACGCAATCCAAACACAGAAATGCGTGTGATTTGTCACAGTATTCTGCAGAGTCAGGAAGAGAAGAAGGTGCAAATTGTTGCGCATATTACAGCTGGATGGTGAGTAGTTACAGAATTTTTAAATTTTAGAAATGTGCAGTTTTTCTGTGTGTATTTAATCTTGTTTTTGATCAGTATTTTAATCCAATTTTGTATTTGTTTATTTTTAGCGATAGCGGTTACGTCTGTATGGTGTTCTACAAACGCGATTCGAACGTCATCGAGATCCAGGAATCTGAAACGTACGAGGATAATCCGGACGACGCTTGTAGGCATTTCGATCCGGCGGAAATTCCCTACACGACGCTGATCAGTAAGCCGCTTTTCCGGATCTATGCGCCCTCACTGCTATTTTCCTCGTTGGGCAATCGAAGGATTAAAATTTGCGCGTGTTTCAATGTTTTATTGAACAATAGCCAATAAATATGCAGACAAATAAAATATCACAAAATCTAAATCTAGGGCAACAGAAACAAATTTATTGTTTGTTTTTTTATTGAGGATAATAGTTTATTTATCTGGAACACTAAATGAGATAATTTATATTATTTAAAGTAAATATTTTGGGAAAATGTTTAAAATTACTCGGAATTTTTTAACTTTTAAAATATTGCATTTTACTATCACTATTTGTTACATTTACGTTATTAATATATACTAATTTTACAGCTACTTCTTTGCATCCTAAAAAATGTCCTAATTTGGGGCGTTACGTCGTGAATAATCAACCCCCCGTGGTCACAGAACGTCGAAAACGACGCCAGCAACAAAATACAGGTACGTTTTACGTTATTACATAATTTTAATTCATTCTATACAATTTTTTCTATTTCTATAATTTTAGGACATGATATTCCTTTGAACAATGGTCCTGGAGCCGGTGTAGTAAGTCCTGAATGCATTTCTCCGACTTATGATAGTCTTGCTGTTGGATGTGGTGGATCAACCGAAACTATGGAATTCCGAACTGGATGTATTCAACAACCTATTAAAGGTAATTATTTAAACATTTTAATATTTATTAATAATAATTATATTTTGTTTTGTCTTAGGATACACATGTCATGGTGCCTGGCAAGATAACGACATGGTTTATGTAATCACATCGCCGACGTCACGTAAAAGCACTGATACACTACGCCACTGCTTCGTCTACAGTATTGTACCCTCATCAACCGCCCCCGTTGGCGAGGGTGGTAAACCGCCGCCTCCTGGCGGACCAATGATTCTACGGCTTTCAGCCGTTGCAGACTCTTGTCATCGTCACATACGTCCTGGAATCGACGGCATATGGGCTTATAATTTCACTAGTAATGGTACGTAATAAAGTTTTTACTGCGCATGCGTAGTAGCGTAAATATAAATATGGGCGTGGCACCGATAAGTTTATAAGTTGTTTTAATGTTTAATTTATGTATTTTTAGGTACATGCGCTGAATTAGAGGGTTACAACGCCGCCCTCGTAATGGTGGTGCCGTCCCTCCTCCTGCTGGCGTCACTGTTCTTCGTCTTTATTTCGAGATGATGAAGACGCTGGCGCACGCAACGGCGCGGTTACACCGTCAACGAATAACTTTATTTCTTCAGAAATCAACTTTCAACAAATCCTAAACCAGAAACCCAACTAAAATCAACTACAAGACGATGACAAGAGGACAAACAAGAAATGTTTAAATAAATCGTGTGTGTGAGCTTGAACTTGTTGCGAAGCAGGAACTATTTAATTGAGGCGGATAATAATTGTGAACAGAGACCAAAAAATTGATAGGTATACACAAAAGCTAAGAAATAAATAAAATGCGCAATCTTTACATGGACGCAAAACAACAACCGAAAAGCATAAGAAATCTACATTACAGATGTTAATTACATACATATTACATAAATTAAAATAATTATAAAGTATATATTTAACTAAATGGGTGAAAATTGCTTATAAATACAAACAAACAAACAAAAAACGTTGAACGATGAATGAAATACAAAATAACAACACAGACACAAACAAAATGAAGCGCTATAAACGAAATTTGTTTATTTAATCAAGACGTTTTGAGATATCGGTCTAAAAATCATCAAAATTTTATGTAAATAAAGTTAGAAAACCATTATCTAATTTGTGCAAATCAACATGTATCATGTGGATAGTCAATTTTTGCTATAATTTCAAACTTTCGGTATTAAGTATACGAAGATAATAGCATCAAGATGAAATTGAACAATGTTGCTTAAAACGAAGAGCTTGCTTCAGTGTGTCTCCTAAGCCAATCGCGTGTTGAGAATGTATTCGAAGGATAAGCCTCCTCCTTTGCTCAAAGACAATTCGACGTTTTTAATGATTGTACATAAAATGAAGTCTAAAATACAAATACTATACGATATTCTATCAAAAATGTAATTTATCACTCACGCATACTGAATGACGAAGGTGTGTTCGAAGGATTAAACAAATAAACTCATACAACGAACGTTTTTTCTACCTTGTAGGTGTAAAGTTTTACAATTATGATAATCCTGGTGTGCAAGGAGGAGGCTTGAGGAAGATAATGATGCGAGAAATAAGTGAAAGATGCTTTTCGTTGTTGATTATTTGTAATAAAATAACTAAACCATATATTTTAAATGAAATATAAAGTAAGGCTATAAGAAAATTGTAAGGATGAAGGATTTGTGAACAAAATTTTTAATCTATATTTTGAAATGTACATATTGTAATTTTTTGTATTTAATTAGATAGTGAAATGAAAATTTGAAAAATTGTCGGGGAAGATGTGTATCACAATGATGGATTAGTTAATGAAGAGAGACAAAAATTGAAAAAACTGTGATGATGATTCAATGAAAAGTGTGTGTACAAGAAAAATTCGATGGCAACTGAAGCGAAACAATCGTTTTGAAACGAATATTAGGGTGAATAATAATGGACAAAGGACGATGTGCGGAATTATTATTAATGTTTGAGCGTACGAGTATTTATCAATATTATTCGAATTATCAGTCTATTTTATTATTCAATTGTTCTAAATGTAATGCATTCTGCGTGGCTGCGTGAAGAAGCATTCTTTTTAATGTGCATCGATTTTTGTAATATCTTTTCTCTGGAAAGCTGTTGGTGCAGGATGCATTTTTGAGAATGGAGTAGGGAAGTTATCGCAAGTATTTGGATTGTTTATTTAAGAATACAGAATTACAGAGGTTTGATATGAACGATATGAAGTGTTCCCCCCAAAAACCACCCGGATTATATTACCCCGTTTACGCCCATGATATCCCGCCGCCCCTGAATACAATGACGAACAAACAAGCCGTGTTATCAAGCTAGACTTTTTCGATTTTTGACGATGTATGTTTCTAATGTAAATATTTTAAAATATATTTATAATGCAATTGAACCAATTCAAACCATGTTGTTTATTTAAATTTAACCGTACAATTATTCTTCATCTCCTTTTTCCATATTTTTTATTCGAAAATGTAGATGTATGCCAACTGCTTTTGAGTTGCAGGGCCGTACTTATTTTATATTTACTAGTGTGCAGGACCGTCTTAATTTAATAAATTTATTTCTTTTCTTGGCATCATTCCACTGTTCCCCCCACTAATACTATTACTCAAATAAAAGGTGTGAAGTTTAAATTATTGATTATCTGTGGTTGAAACAATACATATAAATTACTGGATGAATTAATAGTCTGATAACAAAATGTTACTAAAATAAAGTATTTAAAAACACGTTTCCAGGCGATCCTGCCTATTAATAGTAATAAAAATTTCAAGTTTTATTTTTCCTTTTTTCTTTAAGAAATGTTAGAGAAAATTAAAAATCTGTTTTTTTTTGTAATCTATTAAAGTTAAAGAAAAATGGGTTTCAGATACTCAATTAGGACAATGTTTAACATTATTTAAGACTTGAAATTTTTTAATTTTTCACACTTACGTAATAAATGAAAATGGTCAATATCTGGAAAACTAATTAAGATATCGTTACGAAAATTGAATTATTGAACTTCTGGCATTGTTTCTCATTAGTTTGGTAAGTTTTGTGAAAATCTGAGTTGTGGATCTATTTTGACAGTTTTGATTTCACCACAAACTTTTTGAAATATTGGTATTATCGGAAAACTGACTAGATATATTTCATCGCCTTGAAAAACTCTATCGAATAGTGTTTTTCATTTTCCTCTAGCTCAAAAAAATATTTTTGAGTCCAAAAAGAGGCAAGTGTAACCTCTTGATCTTTTTGAGAGGTTTTTGGTCAACTTTGGAAAATGGAAAATTTAAATCTGCCATTCTATAGATCCATATCACGGCATCAACAAAATGAAGAAAGTTCTTTTTTATCTTTATTATTTTCCGAGAAAATCGCAGCGGAAAATCAATTTTCACTAAATTAAAAATACAAATTTTAAAAGCTTATCAGATGTAGAATTGTTTTGTTGACGTAATGCAATTTTTCGTTTTTGTTTATTTGTATTAGTTTCTGATATAATTGGTATTTAAATGTTGCTGGATGTGCACTTTTCATTTAAATGCGTCTACAGGACAAACCGTAAGTACTAATGAGCAAAAAGTTATAATTATAAGGGTATTTAATGCCTCTCCATTTAATGGTATTACTAATTTTTAAAAATAATTAGAACTATTTAGTAAAATGTCAGGCGCATCCGCCAAATTTGGATATATTACTTATATTTTTCAGGATGTCTTCAAAACACAAAGTTTAATTGCTTATTATCATAGGACAAGTATGACAGGTGTCATTATTTTAATACATAATGGTAATTTTACACCACATGTACATGTTAAGTTTAATAATATGCTTTAATAAATAGTTTCTTTGATGTTTGTTATCACATTTTTAAGTAAATTATGTTCTATTCGTCTGTTAGTGTTATTGAATCGGGCATTTGATAAGTGATCGTGCATAGAATTGAATGGCGAAGTAAACGTGTACCTGTAATCGCTCGTAATTATTAAATTAAACACCAGAAATTAAACATACATACTATATAGTACTAGATTATATATTACATAATATCTGTTGATAAAGTATAAAAAAATAAATTATTTAAATATGTTTTACTTTTATGATTTAATTTCAAGCGTAAAATAAGATAAAGTAAATGTAAATTGATAAAATGCGCTGCTGCGATGATATGATAAATACGCGAGAAGATTTTTGTCGAAATGGACGTCTTAGCCACATCTCGGAATGACCTTAAAAGTCTAATTTGAATTCGTCTCTTTGTTTATTGAATCGTTCAAGGTTGTGATTTGGGAGTGAATCTACTGAATGACAGAAACTATAACAATTCTGTTATGCTGTTTATAAATCAATGAACTAAATTACTTAGTTTAAGTTTTTTATCGCCATATTAAAAGAGTTTAAAAGATTCTCTACACTATCCCTATTTTTCAATCGTCCTAAACCTTTCAAAAGTGCCTTAAAATGTACCATTAACAATCAAAAAAATTAACGTTCTTGCAGTTTCTTAGTCTAATTATCAAAAGACTCTCTCCAAGATGCGTATTTATAAAATCCTCAAAATCCTTTGGAAGTGCCCTAAAATATCTTTCTAAAATTAGCATTTCTCAAAAAAATTTAAAAGCATGCTGTACCATTCTGCCATCCTGTATCACACCAAAATAATTCGAGTGTCTTCCATTTAACATGTAATTCAGAATTTGAAATTTCCTATATGTATGAAAACAATGATTTGTGTAGTATAATTGCAATAATCCTTTGCCAATAAGCAATTAAAATGTGTTTTCTTAGTCGTCAGACAGTTTGATGGGTTCTATCATCCAGTTAGATGGAAAGTGTATAACAGTTGCAATATTAGAAAATGCCATAAAATGTACTCTTAATAATCAAAAAAATTAGCGTTTTGCAGTTTCTCAGCCTCCAATTGTTTATCAAGAGACTCTCTCCACGATGTGTATTCATAAAACCTTCAAAACTCTTTGGAAGTGTACTAAAATAACTTCTTCAGAATTTGAAATTTCTTATTTGTATGGGATAGCGTTCGACTGAAGATCTAAAAGTCCCTGGTTCAATTCCTAGTTTCGGTACGTTGCTTTTGTCAGAGATTTATCGTAATACTGGAAAATTTTGTTTTTATTGTGGACTGCAAAATAACACCCTCTATCTCCCCTATACGATGCATACATTTGCAACCCCCTAGCAATTTTGAAAATGCTCAAAAGTGTTTTTTTAGAAAGTAAAATTTTTCATGAAGTATGTAAATATGGTGTAGAAAACACCTTGTATCTCGTAAACGAATCAACATTCTTAAAGTTTGTCACCGCCATATTAAAGCTCGAGGGTTCCTCTACACGTTGCATATCTTGTCAATCTTGCAGCTCTTCTAGAAGTGAGCCAAAACTCTCCTTACAAATTGACATGTTTCAAAAAAATTAAAAACATGGATTGCAAAACACCCTGTATTACGCGAATTAATTGAATTTTTTGAAGTTTGTTACGGCAATTTTAAAGTTCGAAAGTTTCCCTACGCCATGCATTTTTTTCAATCTTCTAACCCTGACAAAAGTGCCCTAAATTAACCCTGAAAAATTGACCTTTTTCAAAGAAAATAAAAACATGGTGTGGAAAACACCTTGTATCTCGCGAACTAATTGACTTTTTTAAAGTTAGTCACGGCTATTTTAAAGTTCAAGAATTCCTCTACACGATGCATACTATTTCAATCTTCTAGCCCTTCTCAAAGTACCCTAAAATACCGTTTGAAAATTGACATTTTTCAAAAAAATAGAAAACATGGTGTGAAAAACACCCTGTATCTTGTGAACTACTTGAGTTTTTTTCAGTTTGTCACCGCCAAATTAAAGTTAGAGAGTCTCTCTACACGACGCATACCTTTTGAATCATCTGGTCTTTCCGGAAGTGTCCCAAAATACCCTTTAAAAATTGGCATTTTTCAAGAAAATTGAAAACATAGTGTGGAAAACACCCTATATCTCGTGAACTATTCGACTTTTTTGGAGTTTCTTTTCGCCATGTGAAAGTCCGAGAGGCCCTCTACACGTTACATTCATCTTCAGTTTTTTAGCCCTTTTAAAAGTGCCCTAAAATACCGTTTAAAAATGAGCAATTTTCAAAAAAATTGAAAACATTGTGTGGAAAACACCCTATATCTCGTGAATTCTTTGACATTTTTGGAGTTTCTTTTCGCCATGTTAAAGTTCGAGAGTTCGTCTATACGACGCATATTTTTTCAACCCCCTAGCCCTTCCATAAGTGCCTCAAAATGTACTTCAAAAATAGCTATTTTTGTCCCAAAAATTTCATTTTTGTGTCGAATAACAGGGTCGAACTTTTTTGTAAAATTTTTTTTGGTCGAACAACAAGGTCGAATTTTTTTGGTAAAATTTTTTTGGTCGAACAACAGGGTCGAACTTTTTTGTTAAAATTTTTTTGCTCGAACAACAGGGTCGAACTTTTTTGTTAACATTTTTTTCGGTCCAAGAACTGGGTCGAATTTTTATCTTAAATTATTTTTGGTCGAATAGCAGAGTCGAACCTTTTTCTTAATTTTTTTAGTTGAAACATTAAATTAAAATAAAAATAAAAATTAAAAAGTATTTTATTAAATTATACTATCTAAACAACTTTTTACCTATCAGCAGTAAGGATATTTCCTGTAACCCTCATTAAGGGAAATGTGCACTACCATCGAGACTTAAAAATCAATTATCTCAGAAATTAATTGAGATAAACAAAAACCAAAAACACCCCGATGTTTAGCATCAAATCTTACATAATATAACATTTAAAAAATTTGAAATATAACATGTGTCTAAAAATTTTCCGCCGCCATTTTCTCGGAAAATAATAAAGATAGAAAAGAACTTTCTTCATTTTGTTCATGCCGTGGTAAGGGTCTATAAAATGGCAGATTTAGTTTTTCCATTTTCCAAAGTTGACCAAAGACCACTCAAAAACATCAAGAGGTTACACTTGACTCTTTTTGGACTCAAAAAAATTTTTTTAAGCTAGAAGAAAATGGAAAACGCTAATCGATTAAGTTTTCCAAGGGGATGAAAGATATCAAGTCAGTTTTCCGATAAAATCAATATTTCGTAAAATAGGCTTTTCCGAAACAGTTTTTTGCACTTAAAAGCGCAAAATATTGATTTTTTCGGAAAACTGACTTGATATCTTTCATCCCCTTGGAAAACTCAATCGATTAGCGTTTTCCATTTTCTTCTAGCTTAAAAAAAATTTTTTGAGTCCAAAAAGAGTCAAGTGTAACCTCTTGATGTTTTTGAGTGGTGTTTGGTCAACTTTGGAAAATGGAAAATCTAAATCTGCCATTTTATAGACCCTTACCACGGCATGAACAAAATGAAGAAAGTTCTTTTCTATCTTTATTATTTTCCGAGAAAATGGCGGCGGAAATGTTTATAGACACATGTTATATTTCAAATTTTTTAAATGTTATCTTATGTAAGATTTGATGCTAAACATCGGGGTGTTTTTGGTTTTTGTTTATCTCAATTAGTTTCTGAGATAATTGATTTTTAAGTCTCGATGGTAGTGCACATTTCCCTTAATGAGGGTTACAGGAAATATCCTTACTGCTGATAGGTAAAAAGTTGTTTAAATAGTATAATTTAATAAAATACTTTTTAATTTTTATTTTTATTTTAATTTTATGTTTCAACTAAAAAAATTAAGAAAAAGGTTCGACTCTGCTATTCGACCAAAAATAATTTAAGATAAAAATTCGACCCAGTTCTTGGACCGAAAAAAATGTTAACAAAATAGTTCGACCCTGTTGTTCGAGCAAAAAAATTTTAACAAAAAAGTTCGACCCTGTTGTTCGACCAAAAAAAATTTTACCAAAAAAATTCGACCCTGTTGTTCGACCAAAAAAAATTTTTACAAAAAAGTTCGACCCTGTTATTCGACACAAAAATGAAATTTTTGAAATAGCAAAAATAGCTATTTTTGAAGTACATTTTGAGGCACTTATGGAAGGGCTAGGGGGTTGAAAAAATATGCGTCGTATAGACGAACTCTCGAACTTTAACATGGCGAAAAGAAACTCCAAAAATGTCAAAGAATTCACGAGATATAGGGTGTTTTCCACACAATGTTTTCAATTTTTTTGAAAATTGCTCATTTTTAAACGGCATTTTAGGGCACTTCTAAAAGGGCTAAAAAACTGAAGATGAATGTAGCGTGTAGAGGGCCTCTCGGACTTTCACATGGCGAAAAGAAACTCCAAAAAAGTCGAATAGTTCACGAGATATAGGGTGTTTTCCACACTATGTTTTCAATTTTCTTGAAAAATGCCAATTTTTAAAGGGTATTTTGGGGCACTTCCGGAAAGACCAGATGATTCAAAAGGTATGCATCGTGTAGAGAGACTCTCGAACTTTAATTTGGCGGTGACAAACTGAAAAAAACTCAAGTAGTTCTCAAGATACAGGGTGTTTTTCACACCATGTTTTCTATTTTTTTGAAAAATGTCAATTTTCAAACGGTATTTTAGGGCACTTTGAGAAGGGCTAGAAGATTGAAATAGTATGCATCGTGTAGAGGAATTCTTGAACTTTAAAATAGCCGTGACTAACTTTAAAAAAGTCAATTAGTTCGCGAGATACAAGGTGTTTTCCACACCATGTTTTTATTTTCTTTGAAAAAGGTCAATTTTTCAGGGTTAATTTAGGGCACTTTTGTCAGGGTTAGAAGATTGAAAAAAATGCATGGCGTAGGGAAACTTTCGAACTTTAAAATTGCCGTAACAAACTTTAAAAAATTCAATTAGTTCGCGAGATACAGGGTGTTTTGCGCGCAATGTTTTAAATTTTTTTAAAGAATGTCAATTTTTACAGTGAGTTTTGGGGCATTTTTAAAAGGGCTAGAAGGTTGACAAGGTATGCATCGTGTAGAGGAACCCTCGAGCTTTAATATGGCCGTGACAAACATTTAAAATGTCAATTTGTTCACGAGATACCGGATGTATTCTACACCATATTACGTATCATGATTTTAGAAAAATGCTGCTTTCTAAAAAAACACTTTTGAGTATTTTCAGAAGCGCTAGGGGGTTTGCAAATGTATGCATTGTATAGGGGAAGTCTTTAACTCTAACATGACGGTGAGATACTATAAAAAAGTCATATAGCTCTGGAGATACTGGGTGTTATTTTGGAGAGAGTCTCTTGATGGACAATTGGAGGCTGAGAAACTGCAAGAACGTTAAATTTTTTTTATTGTTCATAGTACATTTTAAGGCACTTTATAAGGGTTTAGGACGATTGAAATAATGATAGTGTAGAGAATCTTTTAAACTATAAAGGGGCAATCAAAAAACTCAAATTAAGAAAGTTAGTTTATTGATGTATAAACAGGATAACATAATTTCTATAGTCACTGTCATTCAGTACATTCACTCTCCCATCACCACAATGAACGATTCAATAAACAAAGAGTCGAATAGGCTGACGAAAGTCTGGCCGTCACGGGCTCTTAGACTATTAAACAAATTATTATAACATTTGTTTAAGTTAGTTTAAAAACCCCAATGACCTCCTGAAATACGGCGAAGAAGTGCTCGCGGCCGAAATTACGAAACTTATCAACATCATCCTGAAGCATCAGAGAGTACCAACTGAATGGAAATTGAGCACACTAATAATGATGTTTAAGAAAGGAGATAAGCAAGAACCATCCAACTATCGAGGAATAGCTCTGCTAAACACCACCCTGAAACTAACAACTCGATTACTAGCGAACAAGATATTAGCACACACCACACTATCAGACGAACAACAGGGCTTCAGGAAAGGAAGGTCCTGTAACGACGCAATATTCATAATAAGACAGGTGAAGGAAAAAGCCGTGGAGTGGAACAAACCGGCTTTTCTTTCCTTCGTGGACCTAAGGAAAGCGTTTGACAGAGTGCAGCTCCAAGACATAACCAGCATACTCCGAAAAGAAACATCGCATCTGATATCATCAATACTATAAGGGACATCTACAACAACAACGAACTGCAACTAGCAATAGCCGAACAACGCACAGACCCCATAAAAGTAGGAACAGGGGTAAGACAAGGCGATTCCCTAAGCCCCCTGCTATTCAACTTCATCATGGAAGAGATAATTGCAAGAGTCCGACGCTGTAAAGGATACCAGATGGGGGGGAAAGAGCTGAAAGTTGTGTGCTACGCGGACGATGCCGTGCTAATTTCCGATAGCGAAGACAACCTACAACGCATGATTCACCAGTTTAACATTGCCAGCAAAGCCCTCAACATGGAGATAGCAACAGAAAAAACCAAATGCATGGTCATCGCACCACATCCAATAAGATGCAAACTTGAAGTCGATGGACAAATCGTACAACAAGTGAGCGAGTTCCGATATCTTGGTATAAACATATCCAGCAGTGGAGGAGTGGAAAAAGAAGTAGCAGAGCAAGTTGAAAAGGGCCTGAGAATAGCAGGATGCCTAAGGAACACGATTTGGGACAACAAACATCTAAGAACAGAGACGAAAGTTTCCATCTACAAGGCAGTAGTCAGGCCCATATTTACATACTCGGCAGAAACGCGTGCAGAGACGACAACCACACAGAGATTGCTCACCACCGCGGAAATGAGGACACTAAGAAACATAGATGGCAAAACACTGCTCGACCGGATAAAGAACGAAGACATCAGAAGAGCGTGCAACAACATAGAAGACATAACACAATGGTGCAAAAGACGCAAAATCGAGTGGAACGAACACATAGAACGGATGGACGAAACCAGAATAGTCCGAATAGCCAGGGACAAATCGCCAAGGGGAAAGCGATCCCTGGGAAGACCCCGAAAGAGATGGAGCGACCACCTAAACCCTGTCTGAAGTAGGAACAGGCAATATGCCTACAAAAGAAGAAGAAGAAGAAGAAGAAGAAAACCCTTTAAAGTTAAAGTAATTTTAATCTAACTTATAAGTTCACAATTTATTCAAAAGTTGGTCAGTGTATTCCCAAAGAGTCACAAATTCATATTCACTTTTGTTTTGGATCAAAAACAAATTTGTTATTTTTTTGATGAATTTATAAAAATTAGTTTTTATAATTTCAATATTATAAATTAAACCAAATTTAAATTTAAGTATGTGTGTTGCTGTATTCTTGAATTTTCTCTTGATACTAGTCCCTAAACCATCCTTAAATGGTCATTAACGCATTAAATACCAATATTTCAATTTTTGACAACATTCCAGACATTCCGGGGATTCCATAGTAAAAATGTAGTAACAGTTCTTAGAATTTCGTCTGTCTAGACTGATTATGAATGGCCAATACAAAACTAGGTCAACATGGCTGCCAACCTAAATAGTTTCTTTTCATTGAAGAAATCCGCATTATCCTGGTTATATTGTTGGTAATTCGTAAAATGACAAATCCCTAAAAATTTGACAGTTTGACGCGAAAAAATGACAATTGTAAACAAATCACTTTATTCTTTAATTATACATCATAATTATTTCCCTCTGAAGCATCTGTAATCTAAAATACTAAATATAGATGTGCATTATCAGTAAAAGTTATAGATTTGATGGATTACTTTTAAACAACGCCTGTGTAATTGGTAATTATTGAACTTGTTTTAGTCTGTACATAGATGTAGTTTTTAATCATTGACTGTTTAAAATTGTGGAAATCAACAAAGATAATATTAATGAAATACATTAGTGAATGTTTTGATATTTTGATTTATTGTATTAGATTATTAAATTCAGGTAAATATCAGAGTTTACGTTTATAAATTAAAATTGATGCATTCTTGGTTGCCTAAATTTAGGCGCAAATATGTTAAAAAATTACAATTTTCAAGGGTCATTTTAGGGCACTTTCAGGAGTTTTAAGGGGATTAGACAAAATGCATCGGGTAGAGGGTTTCTTAATTTACAATATCACAATGACAAACTCCAAATAAGTGAATTATTGCGCGAGATACAGAGTGTTTCCCACAACATGTTTGTTTTAAATTTTTAGATAAATACTAATTGTCTATAGACACTTGCAGACACTTTCCAAGTAATTTAAGTAGTTAAAAGGGCGTGTGAATTGTGCAGAATCTTGTAAACTGAAAAGGTGTGTACTGTAATGATGACATATTCATAATCTTGTATCAATACTAACACTTGTGTGCCTCAACAACCTCTCTTCACAAGCGTTAAACTACCTTTGTAGTTTTGAAAACTGTATTTTGTTCAATTCCTTAATAATTTTGATATACATTTAATAATACAAATTGTACATTACTATTTTACATAATTCATATAACATAATCTAAAGCTATAGATTTATTTCAATTTGTAAACTTAGTTTTAAATGGAATTATAATAAACGAGTGTAATTGCAATATCAAAGTCCATAATAAACTTCTTAATTCTTTTTATATTCAATCCTTTCCACCTTAACTTCATCCCCAACCAGTTGATAAACATATGTAACCACAGTAGTATTTTGAATATCCATTAACACAAATGATGGTGTAATTGCACTGCAAATAAATCAAGTTTAATTATTAATACATATTCTATATTAAACAAGATTTAAGTGACTCATTAGCCAAAGCCATACTTGTCCAAAGCATTGTAAGCACCAGTAGCACTTCCAGGATTGATGTAGAACTTGTTATCCAACTCATATGCTTCAAACTTGTGTGTATGACCAGAGATCAAAATGTCTACATCCAGTTGCCTCTGAATCAAAGCCAAAGACTCTGGATCACCCCAGGGAACCACTTGATGTCCATGTGACAAACCAATGCGAAAGTGACCAACTGTTACAACTTTCTGCTCTGGGTAATTCAAATTCTAAACAAAAACGCATACATACCAATAAAATAACACTATACAATCAAGTTTTAAACAAATTCTAATGTTTCTAAACACTTACATCATCAAAATCTCCCCTTACAACATGCACATCACTGGCCAAAGTCTTCAAATAGTCAAATGAGTCTTTTGTGCACAGATTTCCTGTACAGAGAATATGTTGTATCCTACCAGGCACCAGCAGCTTCTTGAACTTCGCCGGCAACGTGCTGCATCTGTGTGGAATGTGCAAATCTCCCAAAACTAACACTAACTGCAATAAGAAATAATTTTATTAAGAAACATTTAATGAAAGAAAACCTAAAACTGCATTCATTTTCGAAGTACATCAGACAAATAACGTACCATATTTGCTACTTATTATAAAATGCTTTAAATTAGTCTGAAAATGAAGATATTTTCCTTAACACTTTGCAATTAGTTACAGTAATTGATAATCAACACATTAGAGAGCGAAACTCTTGACAACACTCGCCTACCGATAAGAGGAGAACATTTTGAGAACCACAGTGACAGCGTGATTCCCCTAAAACTGATCATACAGTGTGTCCATTGACATTTTAGTTTTAACAATATTTGAAAATTACGCATAAGTTCTTAATCGTGCTATATATCAAATGATAGAGAATTCAAAATGCTTTCGATTGATATATAATTCATGTATACATCTTTTATATATCCGCAGTTAATTTAATTTTAGTGATTTAATACAAATATTTTAAGTTTTTCTACTTAAAACTCAAGTTTTCCTAAATTTTGCAATAAAAACATAAACCTGCAGTAGTTCAGTTTAAATAGTGCTTAAAATACGTTCTTTTCATATTAATAAAGAATAATTCACCGCTTGTATGGCACGTAGAGTTAAAAAATGCTGACTTATTTGATTCATGGCAAAATGATGACTTTAAAGTGTTATAAATTGAAAGATATTTAAATAATAAAGCAAAACGTAGCCCTATTAAATAATATCAACAACCGACCATTTCTTAAGCGTCTACAAGGTTAATCCAGTTTATTATGCTGACCTAAACTATATTTGCCAAGATATTTATAGAAATCTTGAGGAACAGATAAGAATATTCCTAACTATTTATTATCCATCCAGTCACGTACGCAGAAATCGGTCACGTACTCTTCTGCACCCGTTTTTACAACATATTCAAATAAGGCAATAATATGTAAACAAAGAAACGCAGTTTCAACACCAGAGACACCGGCACGGTGCGGGTTGTGCGTTCAATGTAGAAAAATTGAAGAAAATAACAAAGATAGAGATTGTATTAGTGCATCTAAACGCTGAGTTTAGAAGCTTTAACGCCTAGAGTGGGATGACAAAGCGCACGCAGGTCAAAACTCCAAACCGGCCTTAACGCAAACGGCACAGCACGCAGTAGGGACTTAAGTAGGGGGCTAGAAGACGCACACATATTTTTTTCAGTCTTTCACTAGCTACACAGTTTACAACAAGTGTCTGGATTGATCGGGTCGTTGGAAATAGTCAAAAACATATGGAAAATTACTAAAATTACAAATTATCAAACGTACATTAAATTTTCAAAAGTTTTAAACAATTTAAGTATTTTACAACTGTGATTTTGGCTTTAAGTTGAATTTTAAGTGAGAAACATGTTTAAACTCATTGCGCGTTCAGGCCGTGAGCTCATTAAACATGCCGAAATCAAAATGTCTGCACAATTGTTAAAATCTCCAATTCCACAACCAACCGTAAGTGATTTTACACTGTTTTTGTTTAATACTATACAGTTTTTAGTAGTTATTCAATATATATCACATTAATTGTATTGTACATAAAAATACTGCGACGTGTTTATAAAATCAAATCGAATTTTTTCGATATCACTGTTTACACAAAAGGAGGTCAGACGCAAACAGCTCTTTCATTATCAGGCATCAGCAGCAATCCAAATGTCTACTTATCTTGCAGTTTACTTCGTGTAACATAACTTCGTGTAATACTAATAGAATTACTGTAATATTATATTAATGCTTTAAAATTTGAAAAATAAATCATATTTTGGATAAATTTCAGGCTGCGTTTGGATTTCTTCGCTCAAAACATCAACAGAGTCACCATGTCACTGTGCGCAACTATGGCAAACCCACAAAACGTGAACAAGCACTTGATTATTCCACAACAGATGGAGAATTCGAAGTTTTGGGACATAAAGTAAACATTTCTAACGTTTTTTAAACATTACTTATTATAATAACGCATTTTTTCATGCTTAAGGGTGAATCTCTATTCTGGCGACAAAAAATCCGAACTTTTCATGCTATCCTCGACGTTAACAAAGACGGCGTGATTTCTTTCAATGATTTTGAACTCTTGGCTGATCGATTCATTGATCTTGGACATCTCAGTGATAAAAACACATTTGAATTCCGCAAATCAATTCGGAATTTATGGGAGACCCTCTGGGGTGAAATCACCCCTTATAATGTTGTTACAGTGGAACAATATCTTGAAGATATGCACCATGTGCTCAATGATAAATCGCGCGTGGTTAAAGTGCATGCTTTCTTGCCATTTTTATTCAAGGTGAGTTTTAATATCTTTAAATGAATGAATGTGGTAATAAATATAAATGTGTTTCAGGCTGTTGATAAAGATACATCTGGTGAAATCTCAATTGAAGAGTTCAAACTCTTCTTTAAGTGTCTTGGACTCCAGGATGAAGATGCTAAAGTTGCTTTCCTATCAATTGATAGTAATAATGATGGTAAGATCAACATCCATGAGTTTGTCTCACATGGCAAGGACTTCTTTTAACTGAGGATCAAGAACGTGTTAGCAAACACTTCTGGGGCCCTCTGGTTGATCACTAAACCTAAAAATACATGATTGTAATCCAGTTATTGTTGTGTCACTGTTTGGACACAAATTGTTATTTATAGACTTAAATTTTGCACTGTTTTATACGCTCTAGCTTTTATAAATGAACTTACTTGCAATTTTATACTATAACATCGAGAATAAATAATTTAATGTACATACTTTTAACGATTCACAACATTTCTGACTAGTTTGATAGATTACTCGGCTCAACATACTTTTTCACATAACCTGTGACTGTAAAATATGATCCACTATGATCAACTTCTTCTTGAATGTTTACTCTTGAGTATTTCACTGTTTTTAATCAAGAATAAAGTGAATAATTAAAAATTTGGTTTGAATGAAGTGTGCAACGGCTGTCAGTTGAGCTGTCAACTGTCAAGATTCTTGAGCTGCGCTGTGATTGGCTGAAATTTGAATTTCTGGTAGGACCGCCCAACTTCCGGTAAAATTCATGATGGCCGCAATACATGCGTTGTTATGGACCGTAACTAAGGAAGTTGAAAATCCATGATGGCCGACTTGTCACATCTGACGTCATCAACGCGCCAAATTTAAAAAATGTAAATTTGAATGTACAAATTCCTTTTTGCTAATAACTTGATTAGTTCTAAATAGAATTTGACAAAACTACTGTTAAGTTATGAATAATATTAAAATGCATACACTGACTTAACTAAAAAGTTATATGAAGAAACATTTATTTAGAAAGTAATACAAACATGTTTTTAAATCGAATTAAGGTATTAAGGGAAATTAATTCATTGAATATTTAGTTGATTCTTGTACTGTGTGACTTCCTTCATCATTTCGCTGATTTTGCGAGTTCTACAAAACATAAAATCAAATTAAATCATGTAATCACACAAAATAAGATTATGCAGCAACTTACGTTTCGTGCAGAGAATTTTTGAACGATTCAGATTGATCCCTTGAAAGTTCTTGATTTTTCTGCGTCTGTACTTGATAATTTTTGATCTTACACTCCTGGTATTTAATCTTCTTGCGTAACTTGTCAATGGCATCAGAGAAATCATCGATTTTCAATTCATTTTTCTTCACATTAACGTGGAACTCTTTTTCTGCGTTGGAAGGCACGTCTTGATGCTTAGAAATTGAAATCAGAAGTTTCTGACACCTACAAACACAAAAACATGTAAATCCCATCTTAAAACTATTAATTTGATTTAATAATACCTGTTTGTAATCTTAATTTGGCGATCATTCAAATCCTCGTACTTTTCTGCTAATCTCTCCGCATTTTCTTGTAATTCAACCCTTGCCTCATTCATTTTGTTCAATTCCTTCAGTTGATATTCCTTTAAAAGTGTGAGAGACCTCACTCGTTTCTCAATCTCAACTCTTGCGCGTTCATAATTAGCAAACTGTTCGCGTAATGAAAGCGCTGATCGCTGACTAAGTTCGTAAGAATCTTGCTGAGTCTTAGTTTCAGACGAGGATAATTTTAGAATCGGTTGCGCTGTTCCCTGCTTCAAAAGACGCTGTATTTGTAAATCAAATTGATTATTATGCAGTATCTTGAGCGGTGAACTCATTGTTTCCACATCGTAATCATCAATGTCTTCTTGAGGCAGTGAAGAAGTCTCAATCGGAAGTGTAACAAGTTGTCCGTTCGCAAGTAAACACAAGAAACTATAACGATTATAATACAACGCAAAACCAATCACAGGATTATTCGCTAATCTATCCTCTGATGTTTTAGTGCAAAGCAAATAATAAATCGAAGATTGCTCGTTAATAATTCCCTCCAACGCTTCTTCAAAATCATCTTCTTTATCATCAGCCAATTTATGCAAAAAATCAACACAACCCATCTCAATCGAATGTACTCCGGTCTCATGAGTAGCAAAATAATTCCCTAGACGTCCTGCATCCTTGTGCAGGTAAATCGGACAAGAATATTCCGAATCCTTGGAATAATTCCCAACAGTATATCCCAGTTCAAGTTCCAAAGTTTCCAAAAGCATTAAAATCTTGTTTTTCTTTTTGCCATTCTCATTAGCATGATCATCCAAAACCAAAACGTGCGAAATGTGCCCGTTGCAGTTGGCAACAGCCATCACCGGCGGAGTAGTTCGAAACACCGCAATTGAACAATATTCGCTGTTCATTTTCCCATCGGGCAAAGGACGAATCTTAAACGGGCCAAAAACTTCCGGCTGAGTTTTATCCCCGAGAGTAATCGTCACCATATGAACAGTGGCATCACCAGCGAGGAAATACACAGGCCATTTGAGGTCTTTTTAGTTAAAGACTTAGGTCGGGCTGTGATTTCCGGTGGACCAAAATCAAAATCAACCGCAACTTCACCCAAAGCTTCCTGCATGGACATAGAAGAAGACGGTACGGCGCAAGTGATACTTGGACCAACTTTGAAGACACCTTGCGGAATCACCGTTGAGTTTTCAATGCAAAACACACGAAAACGTTGTCGTTAGTCAGCAGACAGACGTGATTATCACGAGTTGATCCTGGATGGAAACGCACTTGCCGCACCTCGATTTTGGTGCTGAAGGCAAGCGCACGTTCATGAAGACTGTGCGTCCTGGAAACATTTAAATAAATAAATAAATTAACACACCGGAAAATCATAAATTCGCGTTGAAAGTTAAGTCCCCGAAATTCGGGACAGTGGAAAATTATATTCTGACCACCAGTGTCAACATAAACATTCGTTTGTAAAGAAACACCAAGACATTTTTCACACGCGAGCAATTTTATGCAAGTTAATCTTTTGTCGGAGGCAGTCATTTTTCTTCCTGTGGACATGCAAGTGTGTTGTTGGCAATTTTTCGGCGCGCAGATAAAAAAATAAATTTCCGGAAAACGCAGTCGTCAGAATAAAACAGTTTGTTGAGATATACTCTTAGAGCAAGTATTCCGGAGGAGAAAATCACACGCGTCATTTTAGTCAATTTATTTCTACGAAAAAACACCAGGTGTGCAAAATTTTTCGAAAAATTACAGACTAAAAACAAAAAATTGATTAAAACACGTTTTTCATGTTTAAATCCTGCTAATAAGTTGTATCCGTGTTCGATTTGATGATACCTTAGGGTATGGTTGAGTGCTCGCCGAATTGTATTCGTCCAACACCCTTTTCGCAGCCGCCCCCGGCGACAAAAAATCGCTGTAAACATCGCGAGAACACGCGCGCGCGATACGGCTTATCCACTTGGGACAAGAGACGCAGCCGCGTATTTCATTTCGTCCTCTTGCTCACTACCAACATATTTGTAATATTTGTAATATACAAACATGCAGAACGCAAATTACACCCCTCCGACAAAATAAATGCGCGCGGCATAGAGTGAGTGAGCCCCGAAAACACATTCGGAATATGTAAAAACCTCCCGAAAAGTAAAAGCCCGAGGAAAAAATATTTATTAAGCTCCTACACACTGCCACACATTTACGCCAGAATGTGTGCGGGCGGCGGCGGCACGGGGCAGGCAGCAACTGGAAACGTTCACAAGACACGTCCAGAAAAGAGCTAAAATAACAAACAGAGTCAGAAACAGAGTTCGGAGGCAACTTGTTATGTAACGTAATGTCACGTCGGCTCGACGGCAATCGCGCGAAATGTATGCACGCAGGACGAAGGACAAAATCTACGCCGTCGAAAAAATAATGCCGAGAGGGGTGTGGGCCGGGGTCTCTCTTGTTACGTGCGATTCGTACAAATTATAGAAATTAATTTTTCTTCCAGCGCACGCGAACGCACACACATCTACATTTACACGCACGCCGGACACATTCAGGACTCTTTTTTATGACCACGCATTAAAAATTTATAATTAAACGAAAGGCTTGAATATATTTTGTTGTCAAAAAATGTACAAAATCATATCTTCAAATATTTTTTGTGAAAATTTGAAATATTTCAACTTTAACTGTGATTTATAGATAAACTATTAATTAGAAAATTATGCAAATTTGCAAAAATATAAATAATATTATTAAATATTAGAAAATATTTACACAATTCAAATATTTCAAATAGTTTTCAAGATATTTTAAAATTAATGAACAAGTTTCATGCAAAAAAGCATTTTGGACTTTTTCTTCAATAATTAGCAAAATTTATGAAAATTTCAACTTTTTATTAAATGTTATGAAAAATGATTAAATTTTAAATAATAATACTAAATTTTATTAAATTTGGTAGATTAGTTTATTAATAATCGCAGCTAAAAGTTGCAAAAAGTTGTGAATTTCATGTTTTACTTTAAATTTTCCAAAAAAAATTGAACAATTTAAACTATTTGATAGTTTTTAAAGAAAAAGGTTTAAACTTAATTAAATTCCTTTCAAAATGTGAAATTTCCCATAAATTTCCACGGTAGAGTTTTCTCTCTATTCAAACTTAAAGTACACATTAAAAACGCCAACACAAAAAACCGTTATCATCTCGATGAGTATTAGTCGTGATGCTTTACAGTTTTACACCCTTTTACGCTTTTATTTGCCAACTTTTCTCTCCGCTCTCATTGTCGCCGGCCGTCGTCATTGTTATTTGTTGTTTTCTTCGCGCGGTAATAACTCGAGTTTTGAGTTCGGTGCGCGTATGCTATAGCCCGGCGCCTTCACATCGCTGCCGAACCATCCCGCCGGCGCGCCGCCTCCTCTTCACTTACTTCACTTATAGCGTGATGTATCGCCGCGACGCCGCCGAACATTAACGCCGAACACATTCGGGCGCGTGTCGGGGCGGAAAACATCTTCGCCACTTTGCACACTTTTCGCAAGCACACAGCCGAAGACGAGGCGGCGGCGAGACGTACACAAACACAGACGTTATATTATTACCGCGCGGATGCAAGCCGCGTGTATATATTTATTACTTACTTATATATTTTATAATTTATCGCAATGGCGAAACGCGCGCGCGGAAGAACGTTTGCAGCTAATTGCAGTTTGGATGAAAGTTTTCAAAGTTTTTGGGCGGCGAAGGCGGCAGCGGTGGCGACGTTTGTATTCTATGTTATAAATCTACGAGAGTACAAGGCACACTCAACAAGGACGTGTCGTTAACAACTAACTGCTAAAAAAGATGCAACTTTAAAAAATATACACAAATTTTGAAATAAATCATAATCATCTTCATTTTTAATTTCTGGGCAAACCGTTCGAGATATTTCAAATATTTAAAATGCATAAGAAAGGCAAATAAATGATCTTTAATTTTGTGATAAACGTTAGTTAATAAATATTAAAAAAAGTTGTTTAAAAATGTTTAAAACTTAAGCTTTTGATTTAAAAATTGTAAAAACCACGAAAAACTTTCATTAAAGTTCAAATATTTTATTAATCTCAGGTAAAATTTAAAAAAATCACAACCATCCGAAATAATTATTAAATTTATGATAATTCTACATATTTGTTATTAACATGGGCAGATAAATCGCATTAATAATTACTGTCGAACAAAAATATTTTTTTTTGCCGAAAAAACGATCCAGTTAAAGAATAAACTTATTTATCTCAAAAACCATTCAAGATATTTAACATTTTCAAAAAGTATTTGATACTTATTTAAATTGTTTGACCAAAAATTGAATTTAAAAATTTAAAAATTTTGAAAAATTTCTTGCTGTTGTCTTGAATGTTTGTTCGCACCGTGTTTTAATGTTAATACCGATGGAGGCGGTTTAAATCCGGAACGTGGTGGCTGCTGAAAACCCGACTTGCACCGACTTGCCAAAACTTAATCCGACAATAATTTTATCGCTTTTTTATGCAAATCGCGCGCAGCGCACACGTATCGCCAAGTTGGTTACTGTGTGTCTGTGTTTGGGGAAATCTTAAAGCCGCCCCCGAGGCGAGCGGCGGTTATTACCGGCACCTAGAGATTTTAGGAGCGCCGCCACCGCCGCCGCCGCTGTAAGAAACAACCGAACAACAAATAACCTCCTAAATATATACGTTAGACATATATTTCCGACGATGGTCGCGCGCTTCCTGGGACTTCCTACGCCGTTGTTACAGAGTGTGCTGCTTAATTGCCGCCCCCGCCTAGCGATACGGCAAGCTTTCTAGAAATCTAGTAAATACGAAATATACTTAGATGCACGATGAATATTCATATATAATTAGATTGTGCGCACTTTGCTTCTCGCACTCGTTCTCGTTCTTTTGAGTGGGTGTCGGGGGGCGGCAGTAAAGATGGAGCGGGTTGAATTCGCGCGGGGTAAGGCGGAAAGAAACCGCAAGAAGTCGAGCGCGATGCAGGTCGAAGTATTAATGCTGTCGGCGCGCGGGGCGCGGGCGTTTTGCGTTTGCGAGGGAATTAAAAGTAAGCGAGAATTAAAAGTGCGCGAGGAGATCATCATTAAAGTGTTTACGTTTTGCATTTGCCGCGCTTCGTTTGCGCCATCGTCGACGCCGCCACCGTGGCCGAAAGGGGATGTAGAAGAAGGATTATTACTCGAGTCAATTTAAATTTTCATTTTTAAATAGGACACGAAATCAACGTTTTAACTAGCTGCAAGATTTCAAATTCCAACAAAACGGATTGAGATATTTGAAATTTTTAAAAACACAATGAAAGATTAATAAATTATCTATTATTAATATAAAATTCAATAAATTTCAGTTTACATATTTCTTGTTTCATCAATGCAAAACTTAGTTTAACATTTATTTGCAGTAAAAATGATTTTATTGATATTTATTGAAATTTCTCGAAGACGGTTAGAGATATTTGAATTTTTAAAACAATTATGTTTAGAAATAAACTAGGTATAACATAGTTTAAAACCAACTTTGTACGTAATAAGGTTGTTAAATAATTTACACCCAAAGTTGACAAAAATTTTTCTCCAAGTAATTTTTCACATTTTTTCAATCAAAACCTTATTTCCTCTCAATATTTGATCAAACTATAAAATTTTATCATCTGGCCTGCATCCGAAATAAATAATTCTCACCAAGGATAAAAAATTCATCAAATTATCTCCGTTCCATCGACTGCAAACGATGAAAAAGTAGTAAAACTCGATGGCAAACTTGCGCTGCGTCTAACGACACGCATCACGAACTTTCCCAGCCGCAAAAGACAAATTGCACGCACTGCGATCATCTCCATCATGTCGATACTCGTCAGTCCTTCAGAGCCCTTCGACCCCTACCTGCGCGCATCCGCCAAAAAGGTCGAACAAGTTGAGTTATTACCCGAGTGGCAGCCTCGGCACTCGGTCGGTTTGCGGTTAACTGCACAAGTTAAATATTTACAGCTTTTCTTTACCGCACACGCAAAAGTACGCAGCAACGCAAGGATCAGCAAGCGTAATCCGTCACGTTACCTCGTAAATTCCTCAAGCGTTGATTCGGCGCTTGAAAAAGTTTTAATTTTGAGATTTTTGCCGTCGAAACAAAATAAAAGCATACTCGGTTTTTTGCTTCTTAATTTCGTCCTGGTGACACCTGCTAATGTAGAAAACGGCGGCGCAAACTTTCGAAATTGCCTCGCAGGTCGCCGGGGGTTGTTATCTAGAAATTATGTAAAAACTACGCCGTGGATGATGGCGCGCGCGGGGGTGGGTG